GTAATCCTCTTCTTCTTCATCCGCTCTCTCTTCCTCCTCCTCCTCTTCTTCTTCATCCTCCTCCTCTTCCTCCTCCTCCTCCTCCTCCTCCTCCTCCTCATCCTCATCTTCGTCATCATCCTCACCTCCTTCATGGTTGGTTTCTTTTCTGCCCATTTGCCTACCGCCTCCATCCGAAGAGGTGGCTTCCTCGCCTGCGGCAGCATAGTCGTCCCCAGTCTCCTCCGCTCTATGCCGTGGGGTCCAGGTCATTTTATTCTCCTTCTTTAAGCGTCGACGAGCGTTGGCAAACCAAGTTGAAACCTGCGTTAGCGTCATTTTAGTGATGATAGCCAACATAATTTTTTCACCTTTCGTCGGGTAGGGATTCTGAATGTGCTCCTGCAGCCAAGACTTCAAAGTTGCGGTACTCTCTCGAGTGGCATTCTTGCGGCGAGAACAGCTCATGTCCAACATGCTTGATCTGGAATTGGGTGAAAATGGGAGCAAACAATTTAGGCAAGAAAGTATAAAGAAAAGCTTGGCTTGATTAACACTTGCAGTCTGGTTTGGCCTCAAGACTGCCAACTCATATATCGCATACACAAAGCACATGTAGCCGCTAACCTAAAATAGACATCAGCATTGCAGGATCATGCGCTAGTTTATTTACATAAAGAAAAGTTGTAACCACATGCACACTTCTTTTCATGCATCAACTTCATTCGGCTGCATACATCTAGGGCAAACAACAAGAGCCAACCAACTCCTGGAATACCTCATTACGATCGCAAAATGAGCAGGATTGCAGCTGATCACTTTTCTTGGTTCAGTGTTATTTGGGGATTATGCGTTGGCTTCTGACAATGTCCATGACATGATGAACGCAGGAAGGTGAGCCGAGGTCTTCTTTGCACAATTTAACATACACGTTCATGTGTATTTGCTTGCGCCTATGTATATTGCGTATTAAGCATGCATGTGTTGATGAGCTTCGTTAAGTTTTGCTATTCTACACTTAAGCGATTTTTGTATATCGACAGCTCTTGTGGATAGATGTGTGCCTGTGACGTAATCCGCACAATCTTATGGCCTGCAGTAACTGGGATTTCCTATTTAATTTTGTATGGTTTTTCAGGTGAATTGTTATTCCCACTAAAAAGTGCCAAGGCTAAATGAGGA